AGTATTCCAACTTGATAGTTACCTATATTTCAATCTATAACGCTAGTAAATACTTTCGTGGACTTTAGGTCGTATCCTTAGTTTCAGCTTATCGCATATAGCAGATTCTTTTCAAATTTGGAGCTTATAGGAGCTACAGCTCGGAAATTTAAAAATTTAATTGTTAACACTCACCCCCGCACCCCCTGTGGGGAGGGATATCGTAAAATTTGTTCATAAATTATTTTTACATCACTTACACAAAATTCATACAAAATTAGGAGTCTGTAGGAGCTAGATGTCGGAACTTTTTGATTTTCTTCGTTAACGTCCACCCCCGCAATCCATATTGGAAGTAGATTGTCATAAAATCCGCTCTTAGATCATTTTTACATCACATCTAGGAGATCCCTACCAAATTTGAAGTCGATAGGAGCTATAGGTTAAAAATGGGAATTTTTCATTGTTAACGCCCCCGCAACTTCCCTTGTGGGTGGAATTTCGTAAAATCCGTTCTCAGCTGACCTCTACTCGGCGAAAGGAATATTCCTAGCAAATTTCAAGTCGCTACGCCTTATGGTTCCAGAGATATCGTGATGAGTCAATATATAGGTGGGAAATCTCTTATATATATATAGATTATTAAAAAAAAATTTGGCACATTATTTTACACTCCTATATTATAAACTTCACCCGGAAGCAGACATAATTAAGACTATTTAAAAATAGTTGTAATTTATTTGACGAATATTAATTCTATACTTATTTTTCATCCTAACTGACAGTTGCTATTTTTGTCATAAATTCATTACTTGAATTTTTAACTAATCAATTATCTTGTTGAATTATTAATGCAAAAAAATCCATTAATTTTTATGTTATTTTAAGAAAATTTTATCTCGAATGTATTTTTGTGAAAAAATTAGTTTTTTTTTTAGAAAATACTGCAGGAGAATTAAAAAAAAAATTTTTTTTAGAGAAATTAGTTAAATTCAGTATCATTAAAAAGGTCTGATTAGAATTTGTGCTTTTTTAGGGTTTCATATCATTCTCACCGATAGTCAATTTATTATGATAAGTATTTAGGCGGCAGTCAAAAATATTCTCGATACATAATTAAGAAATGACCTTGTATCTTGTGAAATATTGACATTTTTAAAGATATAAGCTCATCTTGTTGTTACACTTATCGAGACCTTTCATTTGAGCACCCACATCAATTTTTCATATATTTTATATATTTGTATACATTATATATATGTATATATGACAAATATATCAAAAATGCACGTGGGTACTCAAATGAAAGCTCTTGATGAGCGTAACATCAAGATGAGCTTATATCTTTAAAAATATCAAAAATTAAGGAATGACACTGAATTTTGTCAATTATTGACCTTTTTAAAGATATAAGCTCATCCCGTTGTTACACTCATCGAGACCTTTCATTTGAGTACCTACACCAATTTTTTATATATTTTATATATTTATATATTATATATATGTATATATGAAAAATATATCAAAAATACATGTGGGTACTCAAATGAAAGCTTTTGATGAGTGTATCATCAGGATGAGCTTATATTTTCAAAAACGTCAATATTTAATAAAGTACAGTGCAATTTAACCAAAGTCATTATTTAATAAAGCAAAATTCTATTTATTTATAGTTCACAAGTTATGGAAGTCACATAGTGACTGCAAGGTTGCTAGTAATAAATTTACTATTTTAAAGAAGCATATGAATCATTTAAAAGACACAAATTCAGGTTTCGACCTTTCTAATGATGAATTTAATTTAAAAAACTTATTTTATCATATAAATACTAGACAAAATTTTCCTTATTCTTTTAATTATATAAATTATTCATTTTATAATTTTACTAACAATAAAATTTTATCAACAGAGTAAAAGACCATCCAAAATTATATCTATGGGCCAAAAACTGGGACACAACGGAGCTACCAAAGCCTCATCTCGAGCCTGTACCCATAATGGAAATAATAAAACCCGAGCCAACTACCCCAGACATGGACATCACTCAATTAGACATAAAACCAGAAGGAACATGTCCGATGACCAAAAACGAAATTAATGGCGACAAATCGATCAACTCTGATTCAGAGTTGATGAAAATTCTTGAAGAGGACAATAGCTGTGTGAATGATGATTTAAAAGTCAAAAAAGAAATTTCGGATTCAAAAAACATCGAAGACAGTCCGGTAGTAAAAAATGAGACTGAGGCTCCTCAGACTGATAAAATAGAAGATATTAAAATAGAAGATAGTGAAGAAAATATTAAAGACCAACTTAATCCGTCGAGTACAGATAGCCAAGTACAATTTAATGCGAGTAATAATAATGAGTCACTGCTGAATGATTGCAAGAGCGAGCAAGCTAAGTCAAAGCCTTTTGAGCCATTACCAGAACAACCACCGCCGCCTCAACAGCCTTTCATCCCTGAACCAGAAGCTCCGATTGATCCTGATGAATGTAGACTACGTTTGTTGAATCATATAGAACACTTTCAGAATCATATGGAAGTACATCTGACCAGTGTTGAGAGCCAAGTGTCATTTTTAGAAGCCATGGATCCTGATGATGACCTAGCTGCGGATAAAGTTGATATTCGGTGTAAAGAAACTATTCAAATGGTGATTCGTGATCTTAATACTGTGAGAAAACTTGCAGCTTTATGCTGATATATCTCTTTAAAAATTATTTTTATTTGCTTTTATTTCAATCGTGAAAATTGAGAAAAAAATTTTTTTTTTTTTTTTTTCAAAAAAAATATTTTTTATTGTTTAAAAAAACAATTTTTTTTTATTAAAATTTAACTAAAAGTTCTTCAAAAATTATTTTTATTTGCTTTTATTTTAAAAGTGAAAATTGGGAAAAAAATTTATTGAAAAAAAAAATTTTTTTTTCAAAAAAACATTTTTTTTGTCTAAAAAAATGATTTTTTTTTTATTAAAATTTAACTAAAAGTTTAGAAAAAAATTCTACTGTAAGTAGATTGATTATTTTTTTGATTATTCAAAAAATTGATGAAAAAATTTTTCTATAATTTTTTTATTTACAAAAAAAATATTATTTTTTTAAGACAAAATTTGATTAAAAAAATTTCATTAAAAATAATTTTCATTGAAAAAAAATTTGGGGATTCTTTACAAATGCGGTCAAAACTATTTTTGGCCATAATTAGGTGAAAAATTAACATTTTCAAATTTTTTTTCGTTCTACTTTTTTTTTTTTACGTCGCACTTACGATAAAAAAAAAAAAAAAATTTCGATATTTTTGCCTCCAAAAGTTGGAAAAAATTTTGGCTCATATTTTTAAATAAAATTTCTATATTATTTTTTTTTTTTGAAAAGTACATAAAAAAACGAACAATTTAAAAAAAATTTTAATATCACAGTTTTCAACAAGATTTATAAATTTTTTAAAAAATTTGTTAAAATTGTTAGTCAATTTTTTTTTTTTAATTTGTTCATTTTTTTTTTCAAATCAAATAGAAATTTCGTTAAAAAAAATGAAAATTACAATGGTGACCCCATTTGTAAATATTTACCAAAAATTTATTTAATAAAAAAAAATTTTTTAATAAAAAAAATTAAAATAAATTATTTTAAAACAATCCAAAGACTCAAAAAAAAAATTAAAAGCAACAAAGAATAATTATTTAAGTTTAAAAAAAAATTATTGATATAAAAGCTGGACTTGAATCGAAAAAAAATTTTTTTTATAAATTGGTAATATAATTGTAATTGATTTACCAATAATTAGTATGTCAAATATTGTAAATAATAATTATATAGTTTTACTTGGAAATTAAGATTACGTTATAAATGATATTAATAAAAAAAGAAATTAAATTAACAAGTAATACCGAGCAATTGACTTGTTGAACATCGTCATTACGATAATAACCATCTCACATAGATAACGATCAATTTCGATAGCTGATACACTGGGGAGTGATTATCCTTTGATCATCCACTGGTAGTTAGCTACGCTGGAACAATTTAATTTTTTGTTCCGCTTTTAAATAGATTGATAATCTTAAATAACTTATTTTTTTAATTTTATCTCAGTAAGCTGTAAATAAAAATAACCTACGCTACCAACTGACTGGATAATAATAATAAGTCTTGTATTTACGCTTGAGTTTATGCTTCAGCAATAGTTTTAGTGACCCTGACTCTAATTGACCGAACCGATCGCCTTTTTTTTTTTTACGTCGCACTTACGATAAAAAAAAAAAAAAAAATTTCGATATTTTTGCCTCCAAAAGTTGGAAAAAATTTTGGCTCATATTTTTAAATAAAATTTCTATATTATTTTTTTTTTTTGAAAAGTACATAAAAAAACGAACAATTTAAAAAAAATTTTAATATCACAGTTTTCAACAAGATTTATAAATTTTTTAAAAAATTTGTTAAAATTGTTAGTCAATTTTTTTTTTTTAATTTGTTCATTTTTTTTTTCAAATCAAATAGAAATTTCGTTAAAAAAAATGAAAATTACAATGGTGACCCCATTTGTAAATATTTACCAAAAATTTTATTTTAATAAAAAAAAAATTTTTTTTAATAAAAAAAAAATTAAATAAATTATTTTAAAACAATCCAAAGACTCAAAAAAAAAAAATTAAAAGCAACAAAGAATAATTATTTAAGTTTAAAAAAAAATTATTGATATAAAAGCTGGACTTGAATCGAAAAAAAATTTTTTTTATAAATTGGTAATATAATTGTAATTGATTTACCAATAATTAGTATGTCAAATATTGTAAATAATAATTATATAGTTTTACTTGGAAATTAAGATTACGTTATAAATGATATTAATAAAAAAAGAAATTAAATTAACAAGTAATACCGAGCAATTGACTTGTTGAACATCGTCATTACGATAATAACCATCTCACATAGATAACGATCAATTTCGATAGCTGATACACTGGGGAGTGATTATCCTTTGATCATCCACTGGTAGTTAGCTACGCTGGAACAATTTAATTTTTTGTTCCGCTTTTAAATAGATTGATAATCTTAAATAACTTATTTTTTTAATTTTATCTCAGTAAGCTGTAAATAAAAATAACCTACGCTACCAACTGACTGGATAATAATAATAAGTCTTGTATTTACGCTTGAGTTTATGCTTCAGCAATAGTTTTAGTGACCCTGACTCTAATTGACCGAACCGATCGCCGATTTCTCGGTGATTTATTTAACCAAGTTACCTAATATGTTTTTTTTTTGTAATTTTATTTACAACCTATTGTTAATTTTATTTCTTAGGAATTTTTATTTCATGTAATTTTTTTAATTGTGAGATTTAATTGAATGTTTTATGTTGGAATTTATTTTTTGTAAATTGTACACTGTTAAAAATTTAGTTATAAAGAAGTTTAATAATTAAATATCGAGTCTGGGAAAAAAATTAATAATTAATAAATAATAAAATTATGATATAAAGTAAGTTTAAAATCTACTAGCAACATGCAGTCACTACGTGACTGCTGAGAATTGCAAGATACAAATAAATGGAATTTTGCTTTATTAAATAATGAATTTTGTTAAATTGCACTGTACTTTCTTAAATATTGACGTTTTTAATGATATAAGCTCATTCCGATGTTACACTTATCAAGAGCTTTCATTTGAGTACCCACATGCATTTTTGATATATTTTTCATATATACATATATATAATATATATAAATATATAAAATATATGAAAAATTGATGTAGGTACTCAAATGAAAGGTCTCGATGAGTATAATGTCGGGATGAGCTTATATCTTTCAAAATGTCATTATTTAACAAGATATTAAGTCATTTCTCAATTATTGACATTTTCAAAGATATAAGATCATTCTTATGTTACACTCATCAAGAGCTTTCATTTGAGTACCCACATGCATTTTTGATATATTTTTCATATAGACATATAGGTCTCAACGAGTATAATATCGGGATGAGCTTATATCTTTAAAAATGTCATTAGTTGACAAGATAAAATGTCATTGCAAGTTATGTATCTAAAGATACAGAATTTTTGAATGCAGCCTAAATACTTATCATAATAAATTAATTATTGATGAGAATGATACAAAACTTTGAAAAGTTACATATTGGTTAAATTACAAGATGAAAACACGGTAAATTAAAATACCAGATTTTATAACAAAAAAATCAAACTTTTGTACTAAACTTACAAAATAAATAATTAAATGATAGAAAATTTCATTGTAATTTTAGTAGAGAAACTATTTTCATTCAAAATCGTCTTTTATATTTTTACATACCCAAGTTTGTTTAATTACATGTCCATTTATAATTTATAAAAATAAAAAAATTTTTTTAAATTAAAAAAGCAAAATTATCATTACAAAATATTTGCTTTTGAAAAATTTTGGGAAATAACAGCGTATTTTTTTTTTAACAGTGTAAAATTTGGAATGTTTTTTTATGTTAAATAGAAGTAAGAGAGAAAGTAATGTGTATTTATGTGTATATATATGAAACGGGAAGAGTCTTGTTATATTCAAATCACATATTGTTTAAAGTTTCCGTTCTCGCGACCTCATTTCATATGTTAAATTTAAAAAGAACTAGGCACTTTTATTCAGGTCAATTTGTTCAGATTATTATATACCAGTAACATTACAATATCTGTAAATATATGTACACATATATATGCGTAGACAAGTCACTAGACTGCTCAGAAGAGATTAATAGTTTTAGAAGTGAGACGATTGCTATGACGTTGAAATATTATACGCTCAACAATGAGTACACACACAATGAACAATAGAAAATATTAATGATGATGAATATTCAGAAATTGAGCTAAGCTCAAAAACGGGTTTTAGATTTATAAATCATATACAAAGATATAACTCGTGCACAAAATAGATCAACGGTCAGGTACTCGTTTTTTTCTTGATGTAGCAAACGAAGATCGTAAAAAAACAGTAAATCGCGGGTGAAGTTTATACTGACCGCTGCGTGAGAACAATTCTGCTCGTAAAATTATTTTTAACTTTCGAAAGTATATGAGGTACATATAATAATAGTGGATATTCATAATAAAATTTCCTTAGGTAATATGCAATGATTTTCAAGGCTTACAGGTCTCTAAAGACAGAATTTTATATCTTTAAAATTATCACTAGTTGACAAAATACAATTACATTTCTTAATTATTGATATTTTTAAGGATATAAGCTCATTACGATGTTGTACTCGTTGGGACCTTTCATTTGAGTACCCACATGAATTTTTTTATATATTTCATATATTTGATATATATATTTGTGAAATATATAAAATATATGAAAAATTAATGTGGGTACTCAAATGAAAGGTCTCGATGAACGTAACATCGGGATGAGCTTATATCTTTAAAAATGTCAGTAATTAACAAAATACAAGATCATTTTTGAAGAATTGACATTTTTTAAGACATAAACTCATTTTGATGTTATACTCATTGAGAGCTTTCATTTGAGTACCCACATGGTATTTTTTATATATTTTATATATATGGTATTTGTGAAATATATAAATATATAAAATATATGAAAAATTGGTGTGGGTACTCAAATGAAAGGTCTTGATGAGTGTAATTTCGGAGTGAACT